CCAAGTTTTAGTTTCATGGATCCCCCCCCTATTCTGCTATGTTTGGGCTAAAATAATATATATAGTACTGTAATGTCATACCTGTCGAAGACTTCTTTCAAACACACACATGCATGCCTTTTGGGAACCCAAAGTATTGTTAGATGCTGCCCAGTTAGTTCCAGCTCCTGTGGACAGCATAGTCCAACAGCACAGAGCAGTGCCAGGTTCAGCTGCTCAGAGTCCTTGTTGTTGGAGACCATTCTTCCCTCCACTGTGCGAATCCATTTCATTTCCTCTTTGTCACTGAACCTCTACGTACTTTACAAAACATGAAGTCCTTCTTAAGAGATTGGTCCTTCTTCCTACCCTGTCTAAAGTGGGAACTTCAAATGCCCCACTAAAATTCCTAAGAAGAAACCTGGCTTTCAACATAATTGAGAAAATGTGTAAGTATAGCAACCAAACCGTAACTCCCTCAGGATCTTAATATTGATGACTCACAGTTTATAAGTGTAATCCTATCATTGGGTATATCTTTCTTGAATTCTTATACCTGGATAGATGAATGGGATTTACGGTTATCCCACAAAATTTGTGTGTGTGTGTATATGTGTGTGTGTGTGTGTGTGTATATATATATATATACACACACACACACACACACAGTGACCCCTCGCCACTTCGCGCTTCGACTTCCGCGGCTTCACTCTGTCGCGGTTTTTGCGTAAGAGCACCCACTGCCTACACCCGCTCCTTCAGAGGAAAAAGACGGCGACCCACCTGTAGAGTACATCCCTTAAGTCATTTCATAGGCTATTGATTACAGTATTTGTAAGAACTATGTATAATAATACTGTATGTGAAATATGTAATACTGTAAACCAGATGCCATAAATAATATAATAAATAATAAATGATAATTGTAACGTCCAAAATGTTTTACTGTATTTTCCCTTTTTCGTTTAATAAATTGGGTAATACGAGTGTAATGGTGACTAAAGGGTGTTTTTTCATGTCCTCTATGCTCTAACTATGAAAATATTTGATTTACAAATAAGGAATCGTACTTCGCGGAATTTCATTTATCACGGTAGGGTCTAGAACTGATTAACCGTGATAAACGAGGGTTCACTGTATATATATATATATATATATATATTTTTTTTGGTGGTGGTGGTGGTGGTGGCATAGTGGTTAAGAGTTGGACTACTAACCATAAGGTCAGTAGTTTGAAAATACCATCGACTTTGAAGGAAAAAGATGAGACTTCCTGCTCCTATAAGGATTTACAGTCTCAGAAACCCACAGGAGGGTTCTACTCTGCCCTATAGAGGTGCAGTGAGTCATCATCGACTGACTGGTAGTGAGTTTGGTACAGTAAAATACACAAAATGGGTCTGTCAAGAGTTCACATTCCTGCATTACAATTAGCATGTTCCAATCATGTTATAAAATTGCAGAACTTCACTTGTCCACAGAAACTCTTAAAGAAAAGTTAAATTTTTCCTTATAAATAAGTTTGGAGTCAACCTCACCTCTGAAGAATTTTAAATGAATTACCCTTTGACTTCCATGTATTAAAATGTGTTCAGTGCATCATTCAAAGAAGAAAAATTTAGATCTTCAAAATATTTATGAATATTGCAATGAAGTCTTATATTTTCTTTTTTTTTCTTAATCATTTTATTAGGGGCTCATACAACTCTTATCACAATCCATCCATACATCAATTGTGTAAAGCACATTTGTACATTCATTGCCCTCATCATTCTCAAAACATTTGCTCTCCACTTAAGCCCCCGGCATTAGCTCCTCATTTTTCCCCTCCCTCCCCACTCCCCTCTCCCTCATGAGCCCTTGATAATTTATAAATTGTTATTTTGTCATATCTTGCCTGTCCGACATCTCTCTTCACCCACTTTTCTCTTGTCCATCCCCCAGGGAGGAGGTCACATATAGTTCCTTGTAATCGGTTCCCTCTTTCCAACCCACTCTCCCTCTACCCTCCCAGTATTGCCACTCACTCCACTGGTCCTGTAGGGATCATCCACCCTGGATTCCCTGTATTTCCAGTTCCTATCTGTACCAGTGTACATCCTCTGGTCCAGCCAGACTTGCAAGGTTGAATTCGTGTCATGATAGTGGGAGCGGGGAGGAAACATTTAGGGACTAGAGGAAAGTTGTATTTTTCATCGTTGCTACATCGCACCCTAACTGGCTCGTCTCCTCCCCAGTCTTATATTTTCAACATTCTAAATTGCCCTCATGTTTTCTATATATGTGCCTTTTCCCTTTGGTTTTTTAGTTTCCACTCAGGCTGTGATCTAGCTTTGCAGTACCCAACTTGTAGTCCTGTATATACTGCACAGCCTCCTATACTAAAAAGAAAAACTGCCGTCTACTTGATTCCAATTCATATTGACCCTACAGGACAAAGAAGAACGGCTCTCTGGTTTCCAAACCTTTCAAACTTGTAAAGACTGCAGAGTGACTTGTGGGTGCAAACCATTTACTATGCCTTATGATTGACAGCTCAGTATGTAACCACCTAGCTACCCTGGGACTGTATACATCTTCCCTTGGAAGTCCCTTAGTACCCCATTTTCCCCAAAAAATATTTCTTACCTTTTTTTTTGTCTTGTGATATGTGGGTCTGAATTCTCATATTTAAAACTAAGATGATAAATTAATAGCTAAAAGTATAGTGGAATGCCATATCTAATAAACTAGAACTGATGGGGTCCAGCCAATGCAGTTTTCTGAATCAGCACCCCACATTAACCCCAGGAAGAGGGCTAAAAACCCAGATAACTTAGCATTAAAAATGAAATGATGTGGAAGGTGCCATGTGAGAAGAACTAAGAATTTTTGGTTGTGTCTTGTGAATAAAAATGATGCCAATCATTTTTGGATATGCACAAGGATGAGATAATCCTCACCGTTAGTGAGTAAACTAGCATTTCTTTGAACTGTCATCCTAAAACCAGGCATTGAACTGAGTGCTTTATGTATCAAAACGTATTCATTCAAAACCACATCCTCAGAACATAGGTTGTGATTTAAGCATTTTACAGATAAGGGGCAGCAGCCATCATGAGAAGCTTTCAGTTCAAACCTGGCTTTGTTCATGAACAACCAAATGACCTCTTGTACACTAACTCACTCTGAGTCTTGGTTTCTTCATTAGTAAAACAAATAGTAAGACTTACAGGAATCTTGTGAGGATTACAGAGCTATTTGGTAAATGGCTAAAGTGGTGGATATATTCAGATTAGACACTCAGGAAATGCTAGGTATGAGGAATAAATGAGAGAGAATTAACTTGTCTCAGACTCATTATGTAGAAGTGGGAGAATTTACCATCTGAGGAAATCTGATCAATTTAATGGTAATCAAAAAGGCCTTATCAACAGGGGGAATCTAGGACAGATTAAACCCCTCAGGACCAATTATTAGAGTAGCGAGTAATACCAGGAGGGTAAGGGGGAGGTGGGGGAGAAAAGGGAACCAATCACAATGATCTACATAAAACCCCTTCCCAGAGGGACAAACAACAAAAAAGTGGGTGAAAGGAGACAGCAGTCAGTGTAAGACATGAAAAATAAGTAAATAAATTATCAAGGGTTCATGAGGGAGGAAGGGGGAAAATGAGCTGATATTAGGAGCTCAAGTAGAAGGAAAATGTTTTGAAAATGATGGCAACATATGTACAAATGTGCTTGACACAATGGATGTATGGATTGTGATGAGCTGTAAGAATCCCCAATAAAATGATTTTTTAAAAAGGCCCATCATTGCATATTCAAATCTAAATTTTTTTTATAAAGGAGCTAGATCTCAGAAAATGAATACAATTAGTTTGCGATGGCCTTTCTCAGTATATAAGCAAGATTGATAGTAGATTGGAAAGGAGAGACTGTAGGCAGGAGAAACTTTTTCAGCACAAATATCAAGGTAAGATTGCCTAAGTTTTGTAGAGTTCAGTAGATAGAAGATTGATACCATCTTAGAGCAGTGACCCCTTTGGGGGTCAAACGACCCTTTCACAGGGGTTGCCCGATTCATAACAATAGCAAAATTACAGTTATGAAGTAGCAACAAAAATAATTTTATTGTTGGGGGCTCACCACTACATTAGGAACTGTATTAAAGGGTAACAGCATTAGGAAGGTTGAGAACCACTGTCTTAGAGGATATAGAGATTTATGTAAGGGAAGGCTAAGAGTACAAGTTGGGATAGAATTTTTGGAAACAGAGTTTTCCATGCTAAAAGGTACATCCTGGGAACCATTTTAATTTAGTTTTGAATTTTAGGGGTAAGGATAGATAGATATATGATAAATATACTGTTTCTAGATTTATTTATATTAATTGACAATGTACAAGGTGGGAGAAAAGGGGAGACTTGAACCAGGGTAGCTATTGATGGGCACATTCTATGTCTGGTGTCAAATTGAAAACTAGACCAGCTAGGGAACTATTGCAACAACCTCAGCCTACAGTGGATTACTATTAGAAATATGAATGGAAGAGAAGAGTTTGTCCTTTAGCTTTTTTTTAGCTGCAACCTTTTTATATAGACGTAATTTCCCCACAACAAGCTTTCTGGTGTCTTTCACGCTGCACTTTGAGGTTGGTTAGACTATAGCACTAAGCTAATGGCAGAGCCAGGACTGTGTGACTGTCCTTTTAGGTCTCTCTTAATGCAGGCACTTGAAAGTGTGGCTTTTTCTAAAGTAATGCGTTGTTTATAGGTGCCCTCCTGTCAGTTCTGACTCATAACAACTCTTTGTGTAACAGAAAGAAATACTACCCAGTCCTGTGCCATCAGCGGCTACGGGGGAGAAAGAGAAAGAATTACAGTCTCAGAATCCCTGTAGAGGGGTCATTATATATTATAATTGACTTGCTGGCAGTTGGTTTTGTTCAAGATTGTAGAAATACTCTTAAACGAAGTTGGAAATTTTGTGGTTAAATGAACTGGCAACTGACCTTTTACATTTTGTTTGTTTTTATAGGACCTAAGGAAAGCTGGATTGCTGATTTTTGCTAATAAACAAGATGTTAAAGAATGCATGACTGTAGCAGAAATCTCCCAGTTTTTGAAGCTCACTTCTATTAAGGATCACCAGTGGCACATCCAGGCATGCTGCGCTCTTACTGGCGAGGGGTAAGAATTCTTCCTCTTAAGCAACTTTATTTTGCTTAAAAAAATGTTCCTTCTGAAAATTAGGAAGTATTTTAAGCCTACCATGTACAGATAATTTTAAGGTAGAAACAAACTATCTATTATCAGAGTAAAACACTATATACATGAAACATAAATGAACTAATATATGTAAGTGTCTATATTAGTTGCGTTAAGGTAAATCTGCTGCACAAGACCTCTTTAGAGTGTTGAAGAACAAGGATGTTACTATGAGGACTAAAGTGTGCCTAACTCAAGCCATGGTATTCTCCATTGCATCATTTGCACCCGAAAGTTGGACATTGAATAAGGAAGACCATAGAAGAATAGATGCATTTGAATTGTGGTGTTGGAGAAGAATATTGAAAGTAACATGAATTGCTAAAAGGACAAATTGAAGCTGATGGTGCCCGGCTATCAAAAGATATAGCATCTGGGGCTTTAAAGGCTTGAAGATAAACAAGCAGCCATCTAGCTGAGAAGCAACAAAGCCCACATGGAAGAAGCATACCAGCCTGTGTGACCATGAGGTATCAATGGGATCAGGTATCGGGCATCAAAGACCTAAAACAAACAAACAAAAAGCTTATCAATGGGAAGGAGGGGGACAGCAGAGTGGAGACCCAAAGTCCATCAGTCGTAAATTGGATATCCCCTGTCAGAAGGTCCACAAAGAAGAGATGAGCCAGTCAGGGTGTAGTATAGCACCTACGAAACGCACAACCTTTTTCTAGTTCTTTAATGCTTCTCTCCCTCCCTCCCCCTAGTACCATGACCCCAATTCTACCTTACAAATCTGGCTGGACCAGAACATGTATACTAGTACAGATAAGAGCTCGCAACACAGGGACATGGGGGAGGGAGGGAGGTAATGAACTGATGCCAAGGGCTCAAGTAGAAAATGTTTTGGAAAAGATGATGACAACATATTTACAGATGTGTTTGACACAATGGATATATGAATGGATTGTAATAAGAGCTGTATGAGACCCCAATAATTTTTTTTTTTTTAAGACAAACTGATTAGTATTGGAAGAAGTAAGGCCAAAGTGCTCCTTAGAAGCAAGGATGGCAAGACTTCGTCTTACATACTTGGGACATGCTGTCAGGAGAGACCAGCCCCTGGAGCAGGATATCCTGTGTGGTGGACTGGAGGGGTGGCAAAAAAGAGCAAGGGCCTCGAGGAGATGGGTTGCAGCAGTGACTGCTTTGATGGGCTCCGGTATAGAAACCATTGTGAGGATGGCATAGGACCGTGCAGTATATCGCCCTGTTGTGCATAAGATCACTATGGGTCGGAACTGGTTCAAAGACCCCGAACAACAGCCACATAATAGGTGCTGCAGGAGTGCCAACAAATGAGAGTGCCATTGAGAGTTATGGAGATCAGGACACACTTCTTAGGATGGTGGTGGGACTTACATTCTTAAAAAGAAACTGCCATTTGTGAGCACATCCTATGTATTGAGAGCTATCCCATGTTACCTAATTTCATTTTTGTAATAATTTTGTTGATTGTTCTTACTTCACTTTTTAAAAATATAATTCTTTTTATGAAATATGAGGGGAGAGGGTTCATGTGTGAGACTAGTGTGAGGATATTCTCTCTGCTACCAGTGTTCTCAAGAAGCAGTTCTTGGACTTTTTTAAAAATAAGCTAGAACTGGGGAGAGTGTGATATAAAAGTCCTTGGTTTTGGCATGGTAAAAATGTATTTTGTAAGAATTGATACCAGATTGGTTCCAAGATTTAGAGATTGAAGATGTTCCAAATGTCCAACTCTCCCTGAATACCACTTTTGCTCCATTTCCCTCCAACTCCTCCCTTGAATATATTCCCTCAGGTCCTTGCTTTCTGCAGTTGGCTTTAATTTCCCACAGCAATGCACAGAACTTTGAGAAAATGTTTCATAGGGTGGTGGGTGATAATCAGTCCAAAATTCAAAAGTCAGGCAGAGCCAAATGCAGAGTCCAGAGTCAGAAGCCAAAATGTCCAAAAACCTTAGTGGGACTTCTTGATTTGACCAAAGCTCCGTACGGAAAATAGAAGTCTGGCTTTCCAAATGAGAAAATTAGTGTGTAGAATTGTACGGTAGCACCCTTACATATCCAAGAAAACAAAGAGTGTGGCCCTTTGATTCACACCCTCTACTAAGGTCCGGTCTGTTCTTTAGTAGAGAATGCCCTCCAGAATGGGACTGTAGCCTCAGGCATAGATTCCAGAGTTTTACTCTATCACATAAGGAATTATGACTAAGAGGGCCTTCTGAATTGAGCATAACTCACTGAAATAAAGGGTTTTGGAGTCACATTAGAAATTCTATTTACAGTTGAAAATTACAGTAGAGTTTTTGCCCTGGTGTACTCAGAGGAGCCCCAATGGCACAGTAAGTTAAGCATTGGGCCGTTAACCTAAAGATCAGTGATCAAACATACGAGCCGCTCCCTGGGAGAAAGGTGAGGTAGTCTGCCTCTGTAAAGCCTCAGGAACCTTAGGGGGCAGTTATGCTCTATCCCATAGGGTTCTTAGGAATTGGAACTGGCTTGATGGCAATGATGGGTATTGCTCAGAGGTGAAAGGAGTGGCCAGCATGGCCGAATGTAAGGCAAGACTAGTAGGATGGCAAGAGTGCCATTGACTTTAACCATAAATAAATAAATTCAATCAGGTCAGGAACAAACTGTATATATTAGGAAAGTGGACATAGTTTAATACAGTTTAAAGAAGTCAGTTTTGAGAAATAATAGTTTTGGGATGATGGGGAACAAATTGAGAGATGAAGTAGGAGGTTGAAAATCAGATTAAAGACTTAAAGGGAGGAGCAAGCTAGAGTACAGTAGTTGTTTTTCCAAAGTATTGTGGCACTGTATATATTGAAAAGCACAGAATTGAACTGGAGATGACGATTCTAATTAGAGGTTGTAAATTTTAGGGTGAGGTTATCCATGTATTAAGAGAGGGCAGGTGCGGAGGGCAAAGAGATGGGTTAACTTAAGGACAGTGGGTGGGTGGGGGAAATATTCTTTCAAGACAGTGGTGAATTGACCATGCAGGATGAGCCATTGAAGCAAAATCTTAAAGTGAAACAGAAGGCACTATTATCTGATCGGTATGCCTCAGGGCTGTTGACTGGCATTCCTAGATGGTGGTTGTTAGGTGCCATTGCGTCAGCTCCAACTCAGTAATGACCAGTGTACAGCAGAATGAGCCCCTGTTTGATCCTGCACCATCCTCACGCTAGTTCTTCTGCGTGAGCCCACTGTTGCGGCCACTGTGTCAGTCCATTTTGTCGAGGGCTTTCCTTTTTTTCACGGCTCCTCGAAGTTACCAGGCATAATGTCCTTCTTCAGGGACTGGTCTCTCCTGATAACATGTCCAAAGTGTAGTATGTAAGACAGACTTGCCATCCTTGTCTCTAAGGAGCATTTTGCTTGTACTTCTTCCAAGATGGATCTGTTTGTCCATGGTACTTTAAATATTCTTCGCCAACACCATAGTTTAAATGCATGGGTTGTTCTTCAGTTTTCCTTATTCATCGTTTAACTTTCACATGCATATGAAGCAATAGAAAAAAGCATGGCTTGGGTCAGGCAATTAATCCTAAAAGTAACATCCTGTCTAGATGGTACACATGATTAATTCACTTAGCTTTTAACCAAAAGCTTGGCATTTTGGATTAACCCTAAGGTACGTACAGGGAAAGGCTTAATCTTATACTTCAGCCATTGAAAACCCTATGGAGCTTGGTTCAGTTTTGACACACAGGTCAGCTCAACCATAACTGGATTTATTACTCGTTTACAGCAGTTTGGAAGAGTGTGATTAAAACCTTCCTAAAGCAAATCTGTTTATTGAAGATTCACACAATAAACCCAAGACAACTATAACTGACATAAGATTTAATTTATATATGTTGATAATTAAGCAGTTGTATAGAAAAATCAATCATTGATTAGAATAACTATTAATCCTAGCAGTTGAATTTTTGAACTTTTTAACTCTTGGTTTATATGGACATCTATTTGTTGGGAAATATTCTCTTTCTCATCATGTTAGGCCACCTTGATCTACGTTCTTGGTTTTAATATTCAGTTTGGTTAAGGGAATTAAAGATCACTAACTTTGTGATTAGGCATGATATTGATTTGCCTATATGTCCTGGTGGCATAGAGGATTACCCTACAAACCACAAGGTCAGCAGCTCTGCAAGAGAAGGATGAGGCTTTCTACACCATTAAAGAGTTACAGTCTCGGAAACCCACAGAGGCAGGTCTCGTCTGTCTTGGGGTCTGTCAGAATGGGCTCCATGGCAATGAGTTTTTTGGTTTTGGTACTGTTTGCAAGTTTGCACGCCTGAATACCTCTATTCTATGGATATAATTCCAGTCTCAGTGTTGTGACGATTAATTAATATATGTAAAATGTTTAACTTAGTGTCTGCTTTGCTTTTAGTTAAGTATTGGTTTAAAAAACAGCCATCTGTTAACCTCATTGTTGTGTTTTGTACGTGTCTTTTACATTATTAAAGGCTTATTTGCCCAGAATTTTGTTTTGTTTTTCAAAATAACATTGCAACATAGTTTCTCCTATCTATAAAAGCTCGTAGATTCTGATCGGTGCTACATATAAATTTTTCGTTTATTGCAATGCATTACGTATAACTATTTCTCTCTTGCTAAACATTTAGTTTTGTAAACCACAGTGTGCATCCTTTTCTGTGTTTTGAATTGTGTTCAGTTGTGTATCAATAATTGGCTGTTACTAATCGGCGATATTTTATTCCCTTTTACTTTTGTATACATAGATGTAATATGCATATTAAGTGTATACTGTGGTTTAACAACTCTTTATATATGAGGTTTAATATCCTACCTTTTATCTTTGTTCTTATGAACATTTTCCCATTATTCAAACTTTTTCTCTCCTAGACATTTAAATTCTGTTTTCCTGTTAAAATTAATGTAATAAATAGCCTTTTGTGGAAATCTATGTACATCCATAATCATTTTCTTAGGATGCATTTCTAGAAGTAGAAAAAAAGTAGGAAATACTGAAATTTTAAATATTTCTTATTGTATATTGCCAAGCTGCTTCTGTTGTCATTGAGCTCCTTCTACATTTTAGGCATTGTTCAGTGCACAAAAAAAAGACACTGGCATAGGCATATATGATTCTACTGCAACAACATCAGCTTTGAGTATTGCTTCTTAAATCTTTAAGGAGGTACTAAATTACCTTTATAATGTCCTGCTCATTGATTTTCAGTTAGGCACTCCAGTGGCACAGTGGTTAAGTGCTTAGCTGTTAATCAAGAGGTTGGTGTTTTGAAAGTACCAGCTCCTCCATAGCATAGAGGTTTGGCAGCATGCATCTATACAGATGACCTAGAACTCAAACTCATCACCATTGAGTCCATTCTGACCCTGTAGGACAGGGTAGAATTGCCCCGGTGGGTTCCCATGGCTAGAAATCTTTACAGGAATACAAAGCCGTATCCTTCCCTCACGGAATGGTTTGTGGTTTCAAACTACTGCCTCTATGGTAGTGCAACGTGTAACCCACTACACCACCAGGGCTCCTTCTGGGAAGATAATAGCCTTGAAAAGCCTAGGAAGCAGTTCTACCCCATCCCTACGTCCCTGTGAGTCACAGTCAACTCTCTGGCTGTGGGGTTGGTTTATCAGTTTAGAATTTATTTATTTGCTTATTATCTACATATTTTGTGATTAAAGTTTTATTGGCATGTAATAATACACATCATACAATTCAGTATTTCAATCATATTAAAAAGTTATATAATCACCAACACAATATAGTTTAGAACATTTTTTTGGTATTCATTGTTGTTAGTTCCATTTTCCACCCCACCCCCTCATAACCTGCCATACCCCTAAGAAACCATTAATCCAGCTACTGTCTCTATAGATTTACTTATCCTGGATTTCATATACCGAAAAACATTCAGAAACAAAACCAAAAAAACTCAACAACCAAAGCAAAGTAAAACATAAAAATCACAATCTAGAAGAGATCAGAAAATAAGAAAAACTAGCCAACACCCACTTCTTGTTATTATAAGCTGCTATCAAGCTGGCTCCAACTCATGGTGGGTTTTATGGCTAACAGAATGCAGTTCAGAGTTTAATCAAATGATTTTAACTCTTTACAGACTGTGCCAAGGACTTGAGTGGATGATGTCACGACTTAAGATTAGATGATCTCTACTGACCTCGTCTCATATGGACTTTGTGTAAACGAAAAGCGCGACACTACACCAAAAAGCCAAAAAAAAAAAGGGTAGAGATATATATAAAAAAAACAGACAAAAACTTTCTATAAAAAAAAAAAAAAAAACAACACATATGGGGGAGAAAAAAAAAAACAACAAAAACTCACACCTCAAAATGCGCTTTCACAAGAGCTCCCAAAAAAAAAGCTCCAAAAGCTGAGAGACACTTTTCCCCCCACAAAAAAAACCCTCACAACACCGGGGAGACCCTCGGAAAAACAAAAAAGAGAAAAACACATTTAAAACTGAGAAAACTATGTTCAAAACAACACCCCCCAGAGGAGAGCGCTGCTCTCGTGCCACAAGAACGAAAAACAAAAAACAACAAAGACACTGTCCCAGATATTAAAAAATAAAATGGCGCTTGAAAAAAATATTACACAAAAGGGTATATGTTTTGTGTATATACCTCAAGTTCAAGTTAATAGCATTGACTTATGTTCTAAAGAATTTTTGTGAATAACAAAAAATGATAACATCTTTAATCATAACCATAATAACATGCGTGTTGACATTGGTGTTGTGTCATTTTGTACTTCTCCCCTTATGTTCATTGTATTATACTGACCAATCTCCAGAATCATTGAGCTCCTTTGAAAGGAAATAGAAAAAGTAGTGGAAGACAGCTTGAAATTGTGTACATGTTTTCTTGTTGATCAAACAGTGAATAGAAACATGCTGTACAGCTGAGTGAATATAGATCGAATGTATTAAATCCCAATGGGCAGAATTACAATGATCAAATTATTGCTTTTATTGGTTCATTGCCACTTAGGTTATTGAATAAACTTAACCCATTAGTCAGTTGGTCATTAATTGTGGTTAAAATTATCCAAAAAATTTTCAGGATTAATTAATACATGTGTGAAACATGTCTACCCAGAAAACATAGCATTCTGTAAATATCAAGGAATTTAGCTAGAGTACTTTTAGGTATTAAATTACATATTAAGCATTTAAAGTGAATTTGGGATTAAAAATAAAGCATATTTTCCAAGCAACAACAATTTCTTATTTTTAGTTTGAGGGTTTTTTAAAATTTCTGTTAGTTGTCCTGTATCTTCTCACCCACCTGAATACATGGTTTGACAATTAGAAGACACATGTTTGTTCAATGTTTTTAAGAATTTGGGTTAAGAAGTTAATTGACACGATACATTATTTTTAAAGTAATGTGGCCTTGCCTACCTTTTATGTTTGCTCAAAAAATTCGATACATCCCCCCAAGATTGGACACTTGAAAAGATTTCTATCATTACTATAAAATATCCTTAATGTGTTAAAACATTTTCTTGAGTACTCTATCGCTATGTTTTATGCTTGAAAATCTCACAGCTAATCTAAATTGGCATATTTAAGAATATTTGAGAAGAAAAAAGAACTTTTAATAGCATCCAGTTAATTTTCATAAAAGACTGGTGGGAGATTGTATATGCTATAAACTTTGACAAACCTTTGGAAGGTCATTCCAGCAAAATATATAATGCTCAATACCTAAATCCAAGTCGGGTGTGGAGATCAGTATTTAATGTTGAATGTTTTGTGTTATAATACTTACAATGTGAGTGTAATCTTTTAGTATTTGCCAACATACTTTTTTACCAAAGTAAATCCCACCATACTGAGCTTCTTTCATGCAAATGTTCTCAATTTTTTCAAATGATCATAAAAGATTACTTGTTAAGTATTTAAAATGCCCCTAAAAGCCCAAATTATATATGTTATAGATGTTATGATTTCATAGCTCCGCCAAATTGTGCACATTTTTTATCTTTTAACTTGAATAATCATGTTTACTCCTTTGGCTTGCCGACCCATCAGTTCAGCAGGTTAGCAGCACACTCCTTTGTCATCAAATTCTTGGCTGCATTTTATTATAAATTGGATGTTTAAAGCATGTACCATGTTGTAGTTGGTTTAATGTAGTGGATTATTGATAAACCATCATGAAAAGACTGCATGGAATCGTATGCCGCATTTATAAAATTTGATTTTTGTTGTTATTTTTTTCACCCTTCTAGAGTAGGCATTAGAAATAGGTGGTGCTTGCATAGTTGTGACGGCGGAGAAAAGATGAGGCTGTCTGCTCCGATAAAGACTTATAGTTTCACAGACCCTATAAAAGTCACTATAATCAACTTGATGGCAGTGGGTTTTGTCTATTCGTACATTTAAAAAAAATTTATAGGGGAAGGGAAAAAAACCTTTAAATTTAAGTATGAAAATATCAAAATCAGTTTGCCAGTATTAATTCCAAACAGATTGGCCTGGTTGCCCAGTGGTTAAGCACTTGGCAGTAGAGACCCTTGTGAATAGTCGTAGGCAATTTATATGTAGTATAAGTAGAATTAATTAAAGGGCAGTGCTTTGGTGTCTTAATATGCTACTTTTATGTGTAAAACAAACATATTTACGATCTTTGAATCTTTGAAAAGAACAAAGCTTCATATACATCTGTACATGTGGCTAGATTTAAATGTCCTGTTTTTGATACTAATTTTGAGAGTAGTAAAACTTCTCTTGATATCTTGATAAAAGTAACCATATGCTATAAGCATTTAAATATATTTCATTTGTCATAATAGCATTTATACCAGATAAATGATATCTTATGGAGGGCTCTTATTTGAAATTTTCTGTTCTCTTTAGCTTTCTAACATCTTGATCCTCATGATGTGCAAAAGATACAATAAAGACGTAGGTTAAGGGAGAAGGGGGGAGTGGGTGGGGAATTCATTTTCTTATATGACATTTTGCCTTAAGAATACAAGATGCTTTAGCGCTGAAGGCTGGCACTTGTAGTACATTGAAGGTGATGTGAGAAGGATGGCATGAAATAGAGGGAAGAAGAGTGTGTTTTCTGGCCTATATGAAGTGCCTCGTAGATAGTGGCAGTGGGATCCTAGAGAAGTGCAGGGAGCTTGAGGGTAAATATGCCGCCCTGAGATTTTCTTGTCCTTTCTGTCTGAGTGTGTAGTATGAAGATGCCTAGGAATGGGACCCACTTGTCCCCTTACAGGCACGTTTCTTGCTGTGACCACAGCAACCACATACAGTACAGACAACCTCAATATGTTTATATTAGTGTAAATAGAAAACTGTAAACAACTTTCTTAGTCTGCAAGTATGTTTTAGAGTATATCTGGTGGCACAGTGGTTAAGCATTCCGCTGCTAACCCAGAGGTTGGCATGTCAAACCCACCAAGCCACTCCTGCTTCTGTAAATGTAAAGACCACCTCCCAGGAGACTGGAGCAGTTCTACTCTGCCCTCATGGGGTCTCTGCGTAGGAATGGACTCGACGGCAGCATGTTTGTGTGTTGTTTTATATGTATGCTCTCTATATAGGGAAGAGCAGCAGATTATAAATATTTGTGCAAGTGGGGGCTTGTCTTCTCTCAGATCCCCAGTTACTTGCTGGTGTCCATCCGTCTTTCAAGACCGGGCCGAGAGCAGGTTTCTTTGCATGACCTCACTTCGGCCCCTTGCACCATCCACAAATAATATGGAACTTCTGTTCTTGCTTCAGGCTTGGCTCCTTCACCTCCTTTACTCTCCTGTATCTTCATTCGTCAACAGTGAAGATATGCTAAGTCTAGAAGTATTTTAAACTCTGCCTATACGCATTCTCCCCTACCCAATAGTTACTAAGGAAGTCCTCCAGTTCCTTGCTGCCCTCCTGTCCCTGGCTCAACTCATGATTTGAGCTGTGCTCATTAGAGAGCAGTGTTGGAGTTACTGGTTCCACAAAGAGGTTCCATCTCTATGCCACATGTGTAGCATGTAAATGCCAGTAGGTTAATGCTTCCTAATGTTAACCATCCTATATTGAGATGTAGATCCAGAAAGATAAAACTACCTAGTAGACTCTTCACAGAGGGTATTGGGTGACTAGAGTATTACCTTCTCAGTACCAAGAATGGACTATATTTTGAAGAAAGTCAGCATGAACAATTTAGGTTCATAAAAAGATGCCAAACCAAGTTTACCTGCTGTGTTTGATCTAAAGTCTCAAAGCTCACAATTTTCTTCCCCCTCATTTTACTTAATGAAAGTAAGTATTAGATTTCTGAAGGAATTACTAATGAGGATCCAGTCTTCACAGCGGGCTTTGAAGGACATCAGAATAACCAACCGTCATGTACGGGTTCTGTGTAGATATGGCCTCATCTAGAAATTACTTTTGTAAAGCTCTACTCAAAAAACAACTTCTGTAACATCCGCCCTCAAAGAAAGTACAATAGATCACTAATTGATGGTGGGGAATAGAGAGAAAGCTAGAATTTAAACCTTTTGATGCTAAAAAGAGACTTGGATGCTAGAATTGTATGTGGAATTGTAAGACATGTAACCGAATACAGCTAGGATAGTTATGCAATATTTCTGAGACTTGTCTAGCCCTCGTGTATTGTTCTAAAAACTAAACCTTAAATCTTTATTATGTTGCTTGCTGGAAATCCTGGTCTTTGGTAGAAAATTCCCATAGTCTGTACTCAAGAAGTGCCTAAAATGGATTTGTGATCATTTGTAAGTCCACCTAATAAATTATACATGTTTTCTATAGTATTGTATGTGCTTGGCTTACTGACACAGTCCTGCGGATTTCTAAATCTCCGTTCGTACATTATCTGAATAAAAAGCCTTGATATGGAAGATGCCCTTCAATAACCTTCAGCAAACGATCGTGGAATGAAGCAGGAGCATCCCAGTTGTCCCTGCCTTCACACATCTGTGCTACGATCCCAGCAGTGGTTAAGGCAAAGACTGGAAAATCCAACTCTGTTCCTGTTTTGTGTTTGTTTTGAAGAAGCTTTAAACATACGGAAAAATTATACCATGTTCGAAAACCTTAATAAAAGCTTGTTGCTTGTAGAAGTGCAGCCTCTTAATTCTGTTACCATTTAATGATTTTGAACACCATAGCATTAAGATGATTTGTATATGTATACCATGACCCCTCCACTTTGT